TATATATATACATACGAACACAATGTCGTGACAAAAACCACGTGACCTAAAAGGACAACCTACCTGGGCTCAGGCCGGCCTGCACGAGCTTCTCCTTGGCCAAGTAGTCCGAACAGAGGAAGCCTACTAATGCCCAGGACAACATCATTTTCTGAGTTTCAGGGTCCAGCTCGACCCCAGAGTCCTGGATGGCGCCCCTCCAAGAAGTAGGGAAGGGCCACCCTTCGGGGTTGCAGACCAAAAAATAATCATGCTTCTAGGCGGGGATTTTCTTCGGAAGCTCATGTAAGAGCTTGTAGCCACGACGGGGAGAGAAGTAGTAGAGACGTCTCTTCGGCAGAGCCCCGGGAGTAGCGTTTTTTATACAAAGGATGGCGGAAAAGATGTCCAGACTCAGGGAAAGACAGTATTCACAACACAAGGATATCGTCCCAACCAAGTTTCGGATGGCATTGGGATGGAGTTGGTCAATAGTAACATTGAAGTGGTTTAGCACCTCCACTATCAGGGGGTGCAGAGGGAGACGCATGTCAGCCTCGAGTTGTTCCTGGTAAATGACTATGTCATTGGGGCCATGCTCCCACGAAAAGTTACCAGTGGGGATGCAGTAGAGGAGGTCCCTAGGGAGGTGGAAGTAGCTAATCAGAGCCCTAAGTCTCCCCTCTGTCATGGAGGAGGGGCCGAAAGTATCGGGCTCCCTTCCCCGCAAAGTGGAAGCTCCTTCGCCGGAGACCTCCCTGGCCCTCGCAACCTGCTCCCAAGCTCCCCCCGAGCTCAAGGGAGCATCATCATCTTGGTCATCGCCATGGTGATGGACATGGTACGGGTATCCCGACATGACTGACAATAAGGACTCACCGAAAGGGGACGGGACGAAATAAGTTGAGGAACTCGGCTAGACTTGACAGGTGCGCGACCTTAGAATCCGAAGACAGCAAGATGGCGTGAGGGCAAACGAGGCCCAGAGGGCCCCCCTATTTATAGCCCCCACGTCTCTGAAGCGACGGCCAAGATCTAAGCAGATCCAACGGCTCGCAGGTGCACTGACCGCACGCCTTCTGAAAACTGAAGGTGATTGGCGGTTTGTCGAAGCGACGGCCCAGATCTAAGCAGATCCAACAACTTGCAGGTGCACTGACCGCATGCCTTCTGAAAACCAAAGGTGACTGGCGGCACATCTTCCACGATTAAGGCAATGACGGCTGCACAACGCTCGAAATTGGAAGCCACTTCTGCACATTTTGGGAATCCGAAAAGTTAGAAAAGTCAAAAAATCTCTTGATTCTCACAGACGCATTTAATGCGAGTAGTCAATCAAGTTTGGATTTCGGTCAAATCAGTCCACCACACGTCATGAACTCCTTGCGCAAAGGCAATGCTCTCAACACAAGGAGTGGGGGGCAATTGATGGAGGACGGTTTGACCCGACCTATGAAACGATGACACATGGACAACTGACTCAGCGCAAGCAACAACTAAGCATTATAGCCTAGTGACGGGCTCATAAAGTAGCTCGTTGTGTCGTACCACAACAGGAGAAGCTCGCCACGACGAGAGCACTGGGTTCCCCGAGCTACTTTTGAAGGAACACCCCGAGGCAACTTTAGCTCGCGAATGAACCGCCTAGCCTACACCCCCTCGCTAGGGCTGAGGCACCCCAAGTTGCCTCCGAGCTCGGGGTCCCTTAACCTTTCCTAATACCCGAGTTCCTCCTAGTGGACCTCGGGTCACTCCCAGACAGGAACACACCGATCCGCCTATAAACACCCGAGGTGAGGACACCTCGGGCCAAACAGCTCGGCTTAGCTTGCCACAAGCAACTCGCCACTTACGAGCTAGCCCGGCACTCCCAGATCTCCTGCCCGACCACCGTACCCGACAAATCTGGGGACAACGGCCGTGTCCCTCGTCAGACAGCATCGTGCCTACCACCTTTAGAAGGTGCCTTACACCTGACAGGCACGTACCCTGCAGTGACGGCCCCGCACGTGCCACCTTAGCCCTACCAATAACGGTTGCAGCAGGTTGACAGTGGTGGTTATAACTGCCCTATCAGAAGCCAAGGGGCAAGAGGCAACGGATTTCAGCTATAAGGGACTTAATATCAAGGAGGACAGGTATGATCATTTTAATCTTCTACACCTGCGCTATCTACACTCTTAGCCTTCGTCTTCTCCTTGCTTCTCCTACAGAGTACTAACTTAAGCATCGGAGTGTTCTCGCCGGGTAAGCCCCCGAGGATTCTTCTTCTTCTCCATCTCAGGTATCTTCTAGGAGTCACGTGAGTGCCAGTTAGGAGTGACCGGATTGCGCTCCATCACTTAGGAACAGCCCTACTAGGCTCCTAGCTACTAGTTGAGGGTATTTGTTTCGAAGCTTCACTCTCGCTGATTGTTGGTTAATTGAAAAGGCTAAAGTTGATGGAGGAGGATTTGCAAGCGGTTCTGGTCACCCTAGAGAACAAAATCTGGTCCCAAAAGAAGAAAACTTGGATATTGATCAAATATCATATGGCATGAACGACACACCTCCATCAGCTCCACAATTTTCAACCACTTCGATTATTTCGGTTTTTCTTTAATTTCAATTCAATTTTCCCTCTTAAAATTTTGATTAATTCGATTCAATTTTTAGTCAAATAAACCAAGTGTTCACCCCTGGCCCTGTTTGGTTATGCCTACACTCCCTTGATCCAAAGTAACATGATATCACACATTATGTTAGGGTTTCCTCAAACCTCCAAAGTTTTAACATTTTGTGATTTGCCCCTCAACCAAACCATGTCGCTTGATGGTATGGTTGCTAGGCCATTCAGTAATTCGGATTAGCTGAATGGAATAGCTATATAGCAAGCTGTGGAACCAAAATGATAACATACCACGCCATTGAATGGTTCTAGGCCCCATGTGTTAAAAAACAGGTGTGGGGTGCTATAATTGATCCCACACCCTGATGAACAACTATTGCGTTCAGCTAACCTATCTCTCCATTCAAAGCCCAATAAACAGATCCCACACCCAGGCTATAGTTTAATTTTATAATTAAAAAGTCAAATTTTCATTTTCATAGGGCTGCAATAGATAGGATGAGAATAGGATATATCTAGATCCAAATTTGATTCTTTAATATGTGAATTTTGAATTGAATTTATCTCTTGGATTTATATCAGATTCAAATTGAATTCAGATTGCAATTGGATATTGAATAACATTAATAAATTAAACTAAAAATGATTAAATATTATTTATTATTAATAAAATGCACTACAAATTATTTACAAACAAAACAAATTGGCTTTGATAATGTATATATCATGAACAAAACACATTGAAGATAATTTATGAAACTTGAACCCATGAGTGACAGAAATACAATATCCAAACCAATTTTACTATATAAATTTTAAGTGCATATAAGTATATTATATATTTAAATCCAAATAAACCAGATCATATACGAATACAATAATATACAGATGGATCTATATTTGATCCAGTCATAAACAAATTGAATTCAAATCACCCTTAACCGGATTGGGTTCAAATATAAATTTGGGCAAATGCACATTTTTTGCAACCCTAAAATTTCATCTACTTCTTCCTTTGCTATTTGATATTTTCTCATGATTAGGACGTCAACATACAGAGGACCACCCTAGCCTTCAAAAACCCTACAATTTGGATGCACCACTCTTTAACCTACACCGGGGACAATAATATGCTAATTCCCGAATGGAGAACAAAGAGAATAAAAATTGAGAAACAATTTGGAGCAAGTATGATAAGAATCAGAAATACAACAAACTTGAGCAAGTTTTCCATTAATATGATACATATAACATCAAGGCCATACACACCCACCCTGAGACTCCTGGCATTCTCCTTCCCCCTGCCTTTTGTTTATGTACATTCTATTTGAAGTTTTTCAGTAGAATTGACAATTAGCCCTATCAAGGTTTCCATTCAGTCTAACTCGACTAGCTGTGCTCTCCTCTCTGCTGCCCTTTTTCTTATAAATATCCCCCACCTCAATGCAGCTTTTAGCTTAAGCCAGCCTACAACAGCCTTCCCAGAGCTCCGACTCTGTTGTTGTTCAAATTCTCTCCGAGGTTCATATGGAGCATCATAGGAATAGCAAGCCTCATCTGAATGAACAAAAGCAGTTCCTACCCCAACATCAACCTCCGTATTGAATGTCCTAAGCAACCGCTGCATGTCATCATTCTCCAACATCTGTGAACTCCTCAGCCGGATTTCTTCAGACAAGAAATCTTCCAGACCCTGTCCTTCGTGAGGATGAACAAAATCTCCTGATAGATAAGAACCTCCAAGTGATGATGCTCCAACAGAGGAATAATCTATGTTGCCAGTAAATGATGGTTGAGGGGTTGTGAGTGTTAGGCCCACTGTAGGATCTGATCTTCCATATGGGAATTCAATCAGTTGATGGCCAGAGGGTTGAATGTTGTCATTTTGGAAATGCTGAGCAGATGGAGCATGATTCTGTGCACATGCGGAACCCAAAATGTAGTTATCTACAAGAGGGTGGTTGTTAGTTCCAGCTAGAGCTGCGGCTTCAGCTCCTCTGCTGCCGTTTAGGGAATTCAGCAGGACTTTTCCATCATATTCTATGACATAATTCCAGTTCTCATAGGCTGTCTTCACCAATGAATCAACTGAGATCTGTACAAATCATCCAAGGAATCTCTTTACACTTAGAGAAGTGAAAATGGAAGAGCACTGCTTTTACAAAGCCAAAACTAAGAGGAAATAACTACCTAGTCTTATTTACATATATAGAGGAAACTATGAAATTATAAACCAGTTCGAAGTCTTGGTTGAAATCTATAAAAGCCGATATGTTACAAGCAGGAAAATTGCAAAGGAACTATAGTATTAGACCACCATTTTATGGGTCCCATATAAGATATCTCTTAGCAGGAGCCAAGCACCCACCCACCCCAAAATTTTGAAAATTCATTTTCTATACTAAATACTCACACTCAACATGGATCAAATTCATGTTTCTAACTAAAAAGAGAAAATCTAAGTTCTAACCTTTTGATCATGGGAAAGTGATTCCACAGAGAAGAACTGCGCATCTGCAATAAGCCCACTGAGTGTATAGATACTGTTGAAGACAACACCAGTGCTATGGGTTTCATCAGTGTAGTAAACATAGAGCTTCCCATTCAAGACACATGTCTTGGCATGTTCCATGGTATTCTCCCACATCCTATTGGACATTCCACTCCCAAGGATCTATAATGGTAAATATAGGGTAAGAAACCATAAGAATGGAACACATTTTATCCCCTTAAAACACACTAATTAGAAAGGCAAAACAAATAAAAGAAGTAGAAAAAGGTGTTGTAGGAAACACTAGTTGACAATAAAATGATAAAACCAAAATCCTTACACTTCTTAATCTCTGTGGATCCCTAACAAGAAGCCGAAGAAAATCCTCAACGGTTAATATTTCAGCTGTCATCAGCTTTTTATGCAGTGCTCCATCCTTTGCTATTCTATCTAATCTCCAAACCTCATCATGTAAAGCAGGCGGGTAATGCTTCTTGTACACTGAAAAATAAAAGAGTTACATTACTTGATAAAAAGAAGCATTAAGGGAAACTTTAGTCATAGAATAAACAAAAGGGAAACTGGGAAAAAGAAAGAAACCATCAGTATCCCAAAAGTTTAAGTATGGTGGACAGGTGGAGAATACTCAAGTCAGGTGTACAGAGTGCAGTGCCAACTGCTAAAAATGGGGTTTAAGAGGCCCCTCCTCCCCTCTACACCATAAACATGGCACAGTGAGGAAATATATATAAATACTTGATTTATCCCAAAGGCGATACTCTAACTCCTAAGCCAAAACATTCTCCTGAAAGAATACTGCAACCTCATCCACAGAGATTATGCTGTTACATCAGTCAAAATTCCAGGTGTTCAAAAAAAATGAAAAAGAAATGAACTTCACCAGTTAGGAACCGTTAGATCTTGGCCATACCAACTGAACAGTGGCTCTGAATCTTTGTATTAGGGTGCAACTTGGTTACCAATTTGAAGATTTTTTCCAATTTCCACTCCAAAATTTAACAAATGTTCAACCTCTGCCCACCCAAGTTGCACCCCTCTTTTGCATGGTTTCTAAATATGTTAATAATTACAGAGATGGCAACATATCCTCATTTGAGTATCGTAGAACATCGTTTTAGTCCATTAAAGCAACAAGTAAAAGAAGTAATCAATGCTGAAGAACTCACATTCTCCTCTATGATCTTTAACGGCAAAAGCCTCTGTTTTCGCCTCACGAACCCGAATGCCATCACAATATCCAGGAGCAACCTTCACACCAATTCGAAACTTTCTGCTCCTTATCCAGCTAGAATTGTCAGTAAATGTTAGATCCCCGAGGGTTCCAACTCCTTGCTTAAGAGTCACTTGCAAATCACCAGTCAAAAGAGGCCTCTTCCCTTCACGTTCCCTCACTTCATAACTTTCAAAGTGTTCTTTGGTCCACTCTTCATCAGCTTCATCATTGAAGTCACCTTCAAGTACCACAACATTTACCTTTGCTGCTGATTCTGGTCCCTCTGGTACAACAAAGCCCGTGTTGCCATCAATCAATACAACATGGATGGCTGCACCCTGCTCTCCTTCAACCTTTCCACCAGTGAATAGGTGTGGTGGCAACCTTGTTCTGAAATGAAGTTGTAGCTTCCTTTCTTCAGGGCCTTCTATTGTTTGTGGAGGAGACCTATTTTAGGTAAAAAAAAAATGATCAGTTTGTAGTAAAAGAGACTTTGGACTTAAAAGCAGATGACATTTCTTCCAATTCTCTACATGCTAATACTGAGAGGTCTATAGTTCAAACTTAGAAGCATTGAAAGCTTCCTCTGATTTCATAAATATTGATTATGTCTAGTATTTACATTACAGTAGAGGAATATGTTTTTCATGGTACCTACCTACTACTGACAATGACAGGCTGCAAGAGATATAGATGCAACACACATATAGGCTACCCACTACCTAAGCATGACATTTTGTCATGCAGGCTACAAACATATACTTAAATAAGCTCATACTGAAAGTGTGTGTGTGTGTGTGTGTGTGTGAGAGAGAGAGAGAGAGAGAGAGATGGGAGTTTTAGTTTCCTTACTTGGTTTCATAGTATTTAAATAATAATCTAATATCTACCAGTTAGTAATTGCTTCAGTTATTTGCAGATGGTAATGATATATCATTAACTACTTCAGCAGCTATTTCAAATATGACATGTATGAACACTACAAACACACAAAAGACCTCCAAATGCATGAGGCAAGAACCTTGAGACTTAAACATAAAGATCATCATGAACCATCATTTTTTAAACTGTGGAGTTCAACAGAAAACTTATATCTACCAAAGAAAAATATATAAATCTATCCAGTCATCATCACATACAAAATAAAATTAAGACAAGGAAAATGCCTTAATTAACACATTTTATTTTTCTGGAGTGTAACTTCAACTAAATCTTTGTAAATTCATCATTGGAATCTGCTACTCAGCCATTAAATCTCATCTAAGTTTTGTTCTTGCATTTGTTAAGTCCCATCTGACACCAATTCACTCATTAAAACATCTTGCTCTTGTGAAGGATTCCTTTCTGAATTACAACCCAAGTACAATGATCTTTTACCATCAAGTTTTGTTATGAGAACCATATGACATCAAGTCTTGTTGGACCTCTCAGAGGTTAAGGGATTCATGAGAGCATGGTGGATCAAAGGCTTAAATAGGAAAGGCAAAACTTCCTGGGCAAAGCTTTTAGGTAGACCCCAAGTCATGTATTCTTAGCCGAGCAGAACTGGTTAGGGGGGGAGGGGTGCTTTACAGTGGCTTTCTGTAGAGTCCCCGTTATGATCTTCACCTTCAATAAAATACGTTATCATTTAAAAAAAAAAATCTTGTTATGAGAACCTTGTTTCAACTGATGAATGAGGCGTATCTCATATCTCATTTGCACATGGCACCTTTAGTCATGGTGCAGGCTTTTGTACTTAGAGGTTCAGTCTCAAGTATTGAACCTCAAGACATTTTGCTTGGTGAGAAGCTAGAGGTTAAGTTTCACATGCCCTTTTGAATCAATGGTCATAAGTTAAAATGCATACTAGCATCATGAAGAATTAATGATACAAATAAGCAATTATAGAGGATAATTATTTGTGTTGAGGAATAGATGTTTCTCACAAATAGTATTAAGTTCAAAACAAACCTTCCTGCCAGCTTTGCATGACCTAATTTTGTCAAAGCACGCTCAATTTCTTCACTTACCTGTTTTTCCATAAGAAACACAACATTAAAGCATGATGAGTTTTCCAAGTGCATATATAATACAGGTATGAATGCATTGTTCCTTGCATACCTTTCAAGAAAAAAAAAAAGATACAAATTAAAAGACCAACATACTAGGGAAAATGCAACTCTAATTACATGCCAACTTTAGAGTTATAGAGGAATTTTATCTTATGAAAGTTTAAACAGCAAAGAACAAAGTCAAGGAATAACAGGCAGTCTACTTGATAGTTCTACTTTGATGTTCAATAAAAGTTCTTGGAAGGTAGTTGGAATTTGAAACCATGTCTATGCTGTGACCTCCCACAAAATTACTGACTTGGCAAGCAGGCAACTTCATTACATTTATAGGCTTCCAAACTCCAACAGCATTCACAATATGGTATTTTTTCTATCAAACAATTATGATATTTAGTCATATTTTGTTGATGGTAGGGAAACAAGGAAACTTTAATGTCCTTGAATAAAGTATTGAAAGCAGAAAAAAAATGCTAACAATTTTTAAATGATGTATGAATATCGCAATTTCCTTTAGCTAACCATCAATCCAGAATTTTGTGACCACAGGCATGTAGCTGTTTAACTAAACTAAAGAACAAGCAATAAATTCTAAGTTTGATCAAAAAGTGCTATATAAGATGCGATTTTATTTTTTAACATGGATTTAGCAAATTTATGAGAAAGATTATTTTGGAATTCTTAAAGGTGCCATCTATAAATTATAAGTTTGATCATAAGAGGTGCACCAGTGAACTCACAGCTACTTCATCACATCATTCTCCAATGACTTAACATTCCTATACCACAAACTCGTATCAGAAAACTTTGGTGGTTCTAGAAACCAAAAGCACAAAGAACGAATTCATTTTCTTCCATATTTCCAACCAAAAGAAATATCCATTTCTAATTTTTTGATATATGCAGGAGGACATAATTGTAACATATTCAATGCGCTTCAAATGATATCATATTATTCTCGGGCAGCTTAACCATTCACAAAATAATGAATTAAAAGAATCTATATATTTGAAACAATAAAAGCACTTTTCTAGCTTAAAGTAAAAAAGGCCCGACATACAATTCTGCGGAACAGAGGCTCCAAAGATGAGCAAAGCCTTTGCAAACTATCCACCTTTAGAGCTTCCACAATGACACTGTAGAAGAAAAGCAAAAAAAACACAATCAAGTTAAGAAGATAGAGAAAACTCGTATCTAGGACTTGTTGAAAGAAAGGATACAATGACCCATGGGAGGGTGGAATTAACATATATTAGGTTAAATCGCAAAATGTGAAATAAGAATTAACTAACCTAGAGCAAATAGGTTATTAATGCAAAGGTCTTTTATTTTAATTCAGCAAAAACTGAATTTTTCTTCAAGAAGAAACTATTCCCTTTCCTCCCATAAGCAAACAGTAAATGAAACTATTCACCAAAGGATTCCATTTTGGTTAATTAGCATTTCATAACACCAACTCTGAACAATACAACAAGTTTGGAGGAAAGACCAAATGAGAACCCAAGTGGAGTAATAGATGGATTCCTTCACCTCCTTCCAAAGGATATGCATTTCATTAACTCTTGCTCTCACCTGATGAAATGGCCCTGATGCAGGAATGAAGCCCCAGAAAAGGAAAGAGCTACAGAGCAACCCATACTTGGCCATTTCAGATCTACAGAGCAAACAGCCTTCGCTGAACCTTTTTATATGGATATCATTACTAGTTATCTTTGAATAGCAGCTTTCCAAAACCTAAAAGATAGAGACATTACAAGCACTGAACTATGAACTATAGTATGATATCCAACAATGACTGGGTTTTTTTTTTTATCAGCACCCGACATGACTAGGTTTTACAACATGGAATCCCTTGTTTGTATGGTCTATCACTCAGTTCTTATGCCTCAAAACTTGTGTGCCTAATGAAATTTTACCCCACATCATACTCATTTCACCCCCAATAACATTGATAATAATCTAATTTTTGAATGATTTATAACAATGTTTTAAAAAGAACAAGAGGCTTATGCCTTGAGGTTCACCTCAAAGCAACTTTTAAGGAAAAAGATAGTCAGGCTCAACCTCAACCTTGAGGTGCTTTTTGTCTCTAAATGTGCATCTATGTTTTCTATGTGCTTGTATCTATACTTTGACATATTGAAGGCCATTTTGAGGTATGATTTTTAACAGTTAGAGCTCCCTAATAGTCATTATGATTCGTAAGAATGTAACCATTTGTTCATTTTTGTTTTTTTTCCTACATAAAAAACATATTCATATTGCATATTCTTATATTTTGCTCATTTTAGTTTTATTCTGTTCTTAAGTATCAGAAACCCATGAGGCTTGCACCTCACGCCTTGAGGATTATGCCATATGGCACTAAAGGTTGGTACCTCACCTTACACCTCTGCTGTTTTAAACATCCATTTATAATCATCATGGATGCTATGCTGACAAACAAGCATACGGATATTATGGAGTTGGAAGTTATCTCAACATGGCATTGACATTTTGACAGAACCAGGAACCAATTGAGCAAAAACATCACGATCTAAAGTGACCTGACTAAAATCAGAAAACACATGGTCCCCTGCTTGGCACACAATCCACATATCTCTACCTCCAAACGCTCTTAATCTCTGAGAGACATACTTTTCCGTCCCAGCTCACGAAATCCCATCTTAGACGTTCTCATACGAGAGAAATTGTTGACCCTTACCCAATAATTCCAGTATAACTTCTGGTTCTGATAAGGGTTCATTATATTTCACACAAGCATATGTCCTGAACAGACCGGCTATTTTCAGGTATCTGACTACTCAGAGATAGTGCAACAGGCATAGCTATGGTACTCGAAATTCTATAGTTACAATCTATTAAAATAATCATGAAGAAATCACCAATTTTTGTTAATCAAAGAGAAACAAAAAACGCAAACAACGATTAAATAAATACATCAATAGGATGGAAAAGATCATCAAAACCAAGAAAGAGAAAAAAAAGGAAGATAACCCAAATCAAGAGCATTAAATAACACTAGTTATTATAATAACGACGATGACGAGATGTTTTAACTCTCTGAAGAACTAACCTAGCAAGAGCTGGCACCCTTGGCTTCTTAGCCCGGGAAGCTTCGTCTTCATCTTCCTCACCCCGTTCGAAACTTCTCTTCTCTCCTCCCATACTTCTCAAACTTTTCATTAATTACGAAAAAACCAACGCCCCAACAGTTTCAACACACACAGTCAGAAACCATGGCAGGTCATCGCCCTACAGATCAGAACTTGCTACGAAGCTTCCTGGAGGCAAACTATCTCCAAGAGACGAAGAATTTATAGCTGAGGAATGTCGAGCACGAGAGAGAAGTATTCACTATTTTTTTTCCTAGGGCTCTCGCTGAATTTAGCTAAGAAAGACTGGTTTGAATCTGTAATTCTGAGCTCAGAAACCATACAACTAGTCAAGTACTCGATCTGAACAGGGGAAAAATAATATCTATAAATAAATAAACTATTTTTCATTTGGTGGAAATAATAAATAAACTATTTGGACGTCTCAGAGGAAGCCACTCACCCTGCGCCCGCCCTTTTCTGAAATCCGGGCCGTCCATTTATTTTGTTTTTTTAATTGATTATTTGGGATCGTAGCTGGGTTTTTGAATATTTAAAAGATTCCGCGTTCTTGAGCAGAGAATCTGTGTGCTAATGGCCGTTGGATCTTCATCGGGATCTGTACCAAATTCTTAACTACCAGATGTGGGGGAGGGAGCACCACAGTAGCCTGACCCGGTCTAGAAGTCAAGCGTGCCTCGTCTCGTGAGGCCAACGTTAAATGTAAATGCCCCTGCTTTTTCTTCATAATTACAAAAAAACTGCAAACATCAACGCGTTTTGCAGTCAACGGGCTGCCAATCTCAGTCCAACTCGGCGCCTACGCTAGAGTGTAATTTAACCTTGTCCATATATCATGATGCTGATGCTGACTCACGATATTTAGGGTTTGTATGTGTGGCATCTTATGTCTTATCAGGACTTGAAATGGATGCTGCAGTTACGGACCTGGTTATAGAGATGAGATTGGTGGGCGCCCAACAAGCGACCCACATGCACATCTCAGCGTGCATTAGGAATCATAGAGAGAAGATATTCTCAATACACGGTGGGTGGTGCTGAGATTGTGGGGCACCAATTTAGAGGTGTAAAGTGGGCCGTGTCGGGCTGGCACGTGGGTGGCCCCGCATTTTGTGCAGGCCGTGCCATGCTGGCTCGTGGCTTATTATGGGGCCGTGTTGTCCTCTCCGGTGAAAATTTTGGGGTTGGTTTAGGTGCACGCCACGGGTCGGTCTGGCTTGTGGACCGGGTCGGGCCGTATATCGGGCCAAAACTATTTATTTAAAAAAAATTAACAAAAAAATTTAAAATTTTAATTTTATATGAATTTTGTATATAAAATTGTTTATATATGCAATAATTAAATAAATTAATATAACAAAATTAAAAAATATATATTTATTTTATTAATATATTATATACTACAATCTATATATTATTATATAATTATAATATATATAATATATATATGGGTTGTGCCACGGGCTGTGCTGGGTCGAGCTGTGGGCTGGGTCGTGCCAGCCCACGGGCCGTGGGCAACATGCCGTACCGGGCCGTAGACCTAAAATCCTAGACCCAGCACGGCCCGCATGGTCGTGTCAGGCCGTGCTGGGCCACAGGCGGCACCGCCCCATTTACACCTCTATGCCAATGTGATAATGTGATCATCGGGTTGTATCTCATATTCTCATATTATGAATCTATACCGTAGGATCAGGTCATATTTCGGGTATTTCCGAATCGGATCCGATAATACAAATCACAAATCAATTCGAATCCAAATGTTGGATATCTGAATATGATCCGATTCGAGTAAACTCTGAAAATTTTAAGGAATTATTAAAAGAAAAAGCTTGATAATGTATATAAAGAACAAATATTTTTTTCACTATTTTCATTATATATATATAGAAATTGTTTAAAACTCCCCATTTTCATTATTTCTCTTAAATTCACCATAACTTTTTAAAATATCTAAAACTCATCGTGTCACTAACTTGACGTTAAATAGGCCTATGGGTATTAATATATTATCATTTTAACCTTTATAGAAAAATATAAAATATATACAAAATAAATCAATAGATGTTAATATATTACCATTTAATATTTAGACATGAAAAAAGTTCAAAAAATATTTTCAAATATAAAATACATAAAAACATAAAAGTTACAAAAAAATATAAAAAATTATAGAAATTGCAAACAAAATTAAAAATTATTTTCAAATTATAGAAACTGATGAAGGGTGATTAGGCACGACCTAGCAAAATGGGGACACGTAGGCGCGATCTGATCGAAGGATGACAACTCAGCCAGGCAAGCCCAATTCACAACATTTGGAGTTCGGGTATTCAGCCACTTCGGCCCAAAGCCCACCTCGGTGTATAGGCACCTCGACACTCAGTCCAATTCGGGACTAAAGAATCGAAGTTCCAGCTCGGAGCTGAGTCGAAATGCCACATAACCGACTCCAAAAGCCTCCCCAACAGAAAGTGTCGAGATGAATGTCACCAAGGGGCAAGCCCAACAATCAACCTTCCCCCAAGCTCCTACGATGTGCATCGGCCAATTCACTATTCTGCTCACAGCGTCCGGAGTCCCATCACTCTTCGTACCACCGAGCACCACACAAGTGAGCGTCACACTTCCCCCTGTGGTAGGCACAACTTTCTCTGAGCCATCCATGATTCCCCTCGGAATTGGGCATTGCCAGTTTCATGACCTCGTTCAGTGCGTCGGGCTATTCAGATCCAAATGCAGCAGGTCCAATAGTTCCAGCAGTACCAGCAGTACTATTTGTACCAGCATTATCAACACCAGTTCCCTCCACTACAACCAAACCAGCAGCCGGTTCCACCTTGGCACCCAGGGCCCCGTTAGGGCCAGAACCCGAATCGGCCTGGAACTAACCAGAACATCAGTCGATCTCCCCGTAGGGGTGAAGAGACCTCACAAGTACTGATTCCTCTTAGGAGTCAGGTTTCGCCCCGTGGGAGGAGAGACGGTCAGCACACTCCTCTAGTCTCGCAAGGAAATCTCAGAAATAGGTCTGGGGATAGTCAGCCCAATCCGCCTTGGTACTCGCAGCAAGAAAATGACGGCTCACGAGTAAATAACTAGTTTGGGGTTTGAGGTGCGAACTCGAGACAAGGCCTCTCCGTCCCTCGTGATAACTAGTTCAAGCCCCACAACCAACAGAATCCCACAAGGAACCAGGATCTACCTCACGGCAAGGCCAAAATACCAGACCAGACTGAAGTCAACAGCACCAACGCCAAGCCAGTGAAGAAGCAGCAACGGTGACGTCGCAAAACACGCCGCCCCTCGATCAAGAACAGCCCGCCAACGAGAAGAGCAAACCAAAGGAAAGGAAGAAGCGAGCTCGGTGGCTACAAAGACTGCACCTCCACTACTTTGCCGATCATCCCCTCCGTTTCCCAAGCTCTTGGAAACTCCAATGCCAAAAGATTTTAAGATGTCCCCATTAGACAAGTATGACGGGTCGTTTGACCCCAATGATCATGTGGACTCTTTCCAGTCTCAGATGCACCTAGCTGGGGCTGATGAGTCTTGCATGTGTGTGGCCTTCTCTACTACGTTTAAGGGGGTAGTCCAAACTTGGTACCGCAATCACCGCCGGAAAAAGAGGAAGAAAGAGAATGAAGGAACAAGCAATGGTGGACAGAAAAAGAAGAAAAGCAAGTCCCCGAGTAGGGGAAGAAACAACTCAAAAAGCCAGTCCCCCTCGCGAACTCACAAATCAGGTCGACTCTCTAGGACCCCACCTGTGGAGAGAACGAGCTACACACCTTTGCACGCTAAGAGTGGAGAGATCCTAATGGCCATTAAGGACTCCTCCTTCGCCAAATGGCCTCCCAAGCTAAGGGGACACCTAGGAACAAGAAACTCAAATGTTTACTGCCATTTTCACCGAGATCATAGACTCAACACAAAGAATTGTAGGAATGTCCGCAACGAGATTGAGGAACTTATCCGATGCGGATACCTGAAGAACTTCATCTTGCGAGAAGAGAGGGGACAAACAGATCGGTAGGCAGATCGACAGGGGGACCAAAGGAATGGCCTCGAAGTCAGTAGGCAGAATGAGCAACCACCGAGACAGTTGCCAAAGGAAAGATCGATCCGTGGGGTAATTAACATGATCACCAGTGGGTCCATCATCGTCAGATGTACATCAGCAGCCGAGAGGACCTCGGTCCACGAGTTGGAGAACGAAGAGGAAAACCCGCCAAAGCGACCTCGGCTCGAAGAACCGATATACTTCACTAAGGACGATGTGCGCGGGATCCAGTACCCTCACGATGATGCCCTAGTGGTGAAGCTACAAATTAATGACTTCGAGGTAAAGTGCATCTTCGTAGACTCAGACAGCTCGGCAGATAAACTCTTCAAGGAAACCTTCGACAAATTATAGTTACAGCAGAGCGACCTGAGACCGGAAGATACTCCTTTGGTAGGGTTCAGCAGCGAGGAGGTCAGACCTCTTAGTCGAATCACAATACCCGTGGAAGTCGGCACGTGGCCAAATATCATGCGATTTGAGCACACGTTCCTAGTAGTCACGACTCCCTCCCCCTACAATGCCATAGTAGGTCGGCCCATCACGCATGTTCTACGTGCGATAGTATCTACTTACTATTTGAAGATGAAGTTCCCAACTGATTACGGAGTAGGAGTCGTGCTAGGTGACCAGCTCAAATCACGCAAGTGCTACATGGCTGCTCTAAAAGGAAAAGCAAAACTAGCAGAGGATATCGAGCTTGAGCGACCAGTAGAGTATACCGACGAGCGAGCTGCCCCGGAAGAGGAGACGGTCCACATACCAATCTCTGCTGATGAACCGGCCAAGACTCTCCAGATCGGTGACTCAATCAACGAACCACTTCGCTCCCAGCTTGTAAGTTTCTTACTTGAAAACTTGGATGTTTTTGCTTGGTCCACAGCAGAAATGCCCGGAATTGATTTAAAAATTATAACTCACAAACTGAATACCGACCCTTTAGTGAAGCCAGTAATGTAGAAGAAGCACAACCTCACTCTGGAACGTTAGAAGGTAGTCGGTGAAGAGGTTGGGAAGCTCCTCGCAGCAGACTTCATCAGGGAAGTCCATTACCCGAGCTGGGTGGCTAACCCGGTTCTGGTGAAAAAAACCAATGGCAAGTGGCTCATGTGCATCGATTCCACCGACCTAAATAGAGCCTACCTGAAAGATTGCTTCCCGCTACCCAAGATTGACGGCCTAGTGGATGCGACCTCAGGGCATGAGTTGCTGAGCTTCCTGGACGCCTATTCTGGTTACAACCAGATTAGGAT